CATCTGTATGAGAGTAAGAAGAGGAGAGCTTCAGCATCTGTATGAGAGTAAGAAGAGGAGAGCTTCAACATCTGTATGAGAGTAAGAAAAGGAGAGCTTCAGCATCTGTATGAGAGTAAGAAGAGGAGAGCTTCAACATCTGTATGAGAGTAAGAAGAGAGCTTCAGCATCTGTATGAGAGTAAGAAGAGGAGAGCTTCAGAATCTGTATGAGAGTAAGAAGAGGAGTATAGTTGGCTATAAAACTGAAAAATTTCCTTTAATTCCAACAGGATCGGTACATTCCTGGTCCTCAGTTATCAGTTTCTTTATTGAATTTCGTTCCTGTCTCTGTTTTTCTAGCCTACAGAAGTATGCCCAACTTCTTTCCCCTTCTTCATTCCATTTTGCTCTTGATCGGATGCATGCACCTTTTAACATAGATGTTATCTAGTGAAGAGTGTAGAAGCATTAATTTTTGTTTGTCGCCTTCGTTTAATGAAGTCTTGTTGCAAATATCATGAATTTCTCCTACAATGTTAGTTTCTCTTTGTTTACTAATTCGGGTTAATTCTTTACTATAAGATATGGAGATTTGACATATTTTATATTTTAAGTACTCCCATTTAGTAGTGCAATTTGATAGTAGTGATGAGCCTTTGTTTATATAATCAATTGTTCTTTTAGCATCTTGACAAAAAGGGTCGTGTTTAAGAAGATTTGAATTAAATTTCCAATATATTTTATTACTTTTTTGTGCGTTTGTAGGAGTTAAAGTGAGTTTGATGAGGCAGTGGTCTGTAAGAGGTGCAGCAGAACAAGTACAATTAACTTCTAAATTGTGTGTAAACTCTGATACAAGCTAATAATCTAATCTAGATTTAACTGTTCCATCAGGGTTGAACCATGTAAAAATGTGGGTATCTGGATGTAGAGTACGCCATATATCGTTCAACTTGAACTCATTACAGAAATTAAATATAATGTATTTGTAATGGTGATTTTGAAATCTCGAAGGACATCTATCCAGCCACTAATCCATTACCAGATTATAATCTCCTCCAAAAATAATATCACAGTTTAGATATCTTTGAGACAGGTCTTTTAAACTGTTGCTTAATTCTGTAATTAAGCTTTTGTTTTGGTTGTGATTATTGAACCCATTTATATTACCCAAAACCAAAAATCTTTCATTAATTTCAAACACACAAATTATCCAATGACCTAAAGGATTTTTTTGAGTGTTAACTACTTTCTCAGGAAAGTTATTTAAGAGAATAGCGACCCCTGCTGACCTGTTTGTACCATGACTAAAATATATATTTTTCCCCCCATTGGTTTGACCAAAATGTTTCATCTGTTGCTGTGAGTCTCATGAAGAAGACAGCAACGAGCCTTTAAATTGTTTAACAATAGAATAGTTACTTTGCATTTTATAGTCTCTCAAACCCCTAGCATTAACTGAAACAACAGAAAGGTTATAGTTGGAAAAAAGACATGATTAATATAACAAATAATTGGGAAAAAATAAATGATAGAAAAATAAGTAAATAAAAGAAGTGTAAATTTGGACTAGTAAGTAATCAATTGAAAGCCCTGTGCCCCTGACATATTTAACATTAACTGTAAACCAACATCAAAACTGTTTCTTGGAATTTGAACTCTGTATCATAAAACTAAACTATCTTAACACGTTATCTTCTTCCCTTTTCTCATTTTCAGTTATATTGCTTTATGGAACTCAACAATAACTATATTGGTGTATATCAATAGAATGTCGAGTGGGTTCCTCAGATGTCCATGATGACTCTTTCACCATCGATGTCGCCGAATGGACCTTTATAGTAGTTGGTCTTCCCCACAGCTCGTGCTTCCTCCATCTTGGGCCACACTGCAGCTCGAGCCTCTGTCGGCTTTGCAGAAGTCCTCTTTGAAGCCAATCCCAGCTTGTTTGCAGAACTTGGGAGTTTTTTGTGAGTTTCCAGATCTCATCACGGTGAAGCCTCATGACAAACTGGATGATGACGTGACAGTTTTTCCCACCTCTCGTTTTCCAAGTCGGTGAACGTTGTCAACAACTGTATTCGTAGTTGAAGCCCATTGTGGTGTAGTGAGTCACGTGGGTACGTGTCACTTGTTGTAGTATGACAAATATATGAAATATATATGCATACAATTTCACGAGTTCCTCATCTTTCTGACTGTATAATGCCGTGCATTGAATTTAACAGAAATGCGAACGAGAGACGTTATTTACCTTTGACCCATCAAAATGAATGGAGTCATTTATTTTCAGAATCAAAGTTTAACATCAAACATTTACATTAATTTGGCAAAATATGAAAATAATAACAGACAAGTTTCACAGAAAATGAGCATCGATCACGCGGCGGTGAACGAGGACTTTGCTTCAGATATTTCTAAAATATCTGTACTGGTTTTGTGAGAGAGAGAAGAGTTTAAGATGAAATGGAGATTATCTTACAGAGAACTATGTGAGAGAATTAATATCTGTTGACCAGAACGTGCACGCTTCATCAGATTTCAGCTCGCCTCCGGTACACTTTAGTCGAAGAAGAGACCGTTACCTTGTTGATGATAGATCAGCTCGATAGAGAATCCTCCAGACCTTTCAGCGTCTCCGTTGAGAGCTGCTGAAATCCTTAGATAGTCGTGCGTGGGTCGTTCAAACAGAAATTGTAATTCCAAAACGTCTCTGGATCATCCTGAATTCTCGAATTCTCTTCCATTCACTTCACCATTCTCCATGAATTCTCCATGAATTCTCTTCAGAACTCCTTGAGCACTAACTTGAGAACTCTTTGAGAACTGCTTCAGAACTGCTTCAGAACTCACTTGAACTGGAAAGTTGCCACATTTTAAATGGGTCGACTTCCGGTTCAATTTAGAGCTTTCTGATTCGTGGATGTACCAGAAAGAGGTGTGGTTTTTGACGTAAGGTATTATCAAAAGTCGAGGTCAGGGAATGAGATTTGTTTAACAACTGACAGAGAGATTATTGCAGAAAAGCAGACTTTTTGGAGCCTCACTCTGTTGTATCTTTCCAAATAGTAAAACATGACATCCCTTTTTCAGTAAACATTTAGTTGACCGAAGCTTCAACTTTCACATACTTACGACTTGGCTCATTTCAGACAGAAAATCAAGAAATGCATATTCAGGTGATTTCTTCTTTGAATGAGGAATAAAAATCATTACTTACTGTTTATGTAAAATAAAAATGAGTAGTTCTTTTCAACCTGTAAGCATTGAGTGAAACTAACACAATTTGATTATCAAACATTTGTAAGACAGTAATGATTATAGAGGATTGTCTTTTCTGCTTGATTAATTCAAGAAAGAAAGTCATCAGATGGCTCAGACTTATTCAGATCAATGAAAATAACAGTCTCTGTCCATCTGGTAGATTTGAGGTCATCAGGGTCAGATAAGGGTCAGACCAGGTTCACTACAGTGGTGCGATTTCTGAAAGGACGCAGATGATTTCCTCACATATCTTTTATCTTTTTCTTGCAGACCATGTATTTTGAGATTCCAGCGTCTCTTGTATCTCTCCAGCTCTGTTTTTCATTTAGTTCTTTCTTTGGTGAGTTGCGGTATTATTTTTTCAAAGTCTTTTAAGGAAGACTGGGTAGAAGGAAATGCCTAAATGCCAGAAGTCCAGTGTGAAGCACCCACAGTCAGTGATGGTCTGGGGTGCCATGTCAGCTGCTGGTGTTGGTCCACTGTGTTTTATCAAGGGCAGGGTCAATGCAGCTAGCTATCAGGAGATTTTGGAGCACTTCATGCTTCCATCTGCTGAAAAGCTTTATGGAGATGAAGATTTCATTTTTCAGCACGACCTGGCACCTGCTCACAGTGCCAAAACCACTGGTAAATGGTTTACTGACCATGGTATTACTGTGCTCAATTGGCCTGCCAACTCTCCTGACCTGAACCCCATAGAGAACCTGTGGGATATTGTGAAGAGAAAGTTGAGAGACGCAAGACCCAACACTCTGGATGAGCTTAAGGCCGCTATCGAAGCATCCTGGGCCTCCATAACACCTCAGCAGTGCCACAGGCTGATTGCCTCCATGCCACGTCGCATTGAAGCAGTCATTCATGCAAAAGGATTCCCGACCAAGTATTGAGTGCATAACTGAACAAGATTATTTGAAGGTTGGCGTTTTTTGTATTAAAAACACTTGTCTTTCATTGGTGGGATGAAATATGCTAATTTTTTGGGACAGGCATTTTGGGTTTTCATGAGCTGTATGAATAATCATCAGTATTAAAACATTTAAAGACCTGAAATATTTCAGTTGGTGTGCAATGAATCCGAAATATATGAAAGTTTCATTTTTATCATTACATTATGGAAAATAATGACCTTTATCACAATATGCTAATTTTTTGAGAAGGACCTGTAGTTGATGTTGGTACTGGACTTGAATTCTGGGGCAGCAGGGTGCGAGCTCAGAAGAAGACTTCTGCCAGATCTGCCATCTTGCCGACTCCCAACCGCCAAAAGCCATTTATGGGGGCGTTTGCACGCATGCACATCAGAAAAAGCTAAACACAATGGATCTATGGTTAAAGATTGCCTCTGAATTTAGGTCAGATTATACTTTGAATTTCTTGTAAACCAACTGTCAAAGTGGCATATTTTACCTTCCTGAACTTCTCAAAAGATTAATTCAATTCATTTTATTTACTATGGCACCAATTCACAACAGAAGTCGTCCTTGGGTGCACAGAAACATTCACATACATAAAAATCAGTTAATATTTATCTAAGGAGCAGGAGTGTCCAGGGTTGACTGGGTCACTTAAGCATAAGCAGATCATCTTAATAGCTTTCAAGTTTCGTTTGTTGCAAACAAAAAACTACACAAGTTTTGAAAGTGTCAAATGTGCTTGATTTTATTTTATTGCATTAAGGCAGTTAATAAAATTTAGAATAGGCTGACAATCTTGGCATCATAAACATTACATGTTGGAGAATGCAAGGAGGCATAGTACAAAAATAAGCCATATTCTGAAGTGGCAGAAACCCTGCATGTTGCACAGAAATAACGAGTCAGCTACTACATAATGACCCATCACCAGTAAGAAAATAACCATAGTCAAACCAATACAAAATCTATACCACGAGAATCTGAACCCGCCCCCACTGTGTGCATTTGTCATTTTCATAATTCACATGACAACATGCTGCAGAAAGTACAGAGTTTAATACCAATTCAAGCAAATAACTGCATCAAAAAGTTCTGGAAAATGTGCAAAACACAAATTTCCCCATTAATAACCCTGCAAAAAGCTCAGATATCGCAAATTGTAATGATTTGTTACATGCACAATATTTCAATTCAAATTCAAAAATACTTTATTAATCCCAGAGGGAAATTAAATGCAACTCATCATCAATTTCAGGATTAATGTAGAAAGAGAGGGTTTTGTAAAACCTTTGTAATAAAAAAATGCTTTTTGTAAGAGGAAGTTGGCTTATAATCGGTTTATTTGGAAACATATTTTATGTCGACAGTAATCAAAAGCATTTTTCATGGCTCTCCTTGTCGTTTCACTCAGTGCCGTGTTTGGCAGGAGACTGGTCCCCATCCTCATCGCTCTCCAGACCAGTGCGGTTAATGCCAATTCGCACAGTTGCAGGTAAGTCACCATGTCTAAGAGAGAAAAAAAGTTTTACAAAGAAAGGCACAGCACAAATTTGATGCATGTACAAAGTGACATATACTTCTTCCTTAGTCTAAATTCTCTAATGTAAAATGACACCTATGCTATCATCAGCGTGGCTCGTTCATGTGAGCTGGTTCTACCTGAGCCTGCTCCTCAGAGTGCTGACTTCACGGTTCATTACATCTGCTGATTCACTGGCGTCCTCCAGCTCCCTCTGCAGCTTCCTGCGGTTCATATTGGCCCTGGTCAGCTCCTCCTCAGTTTCTTCCAGCTGACGCTTCATCTGGCGCAGTCGAACGTTCGTTTTCTCCACCTGCAAAGACAGTTTTTACTTAGGCCTCATGTGGCAGAAATATTTCACAACAAACAACAAAAACAAGATGATCCTTTATTAATCTGAAACGTGAAGTACCTGATCTTTGAACTGCTCAGAGTTGCGCCTCTCATCGTCAACCTGCAGCAGCGTTTCTTTGAGCTTCTTCTCTGTTCTCCTGACCAGCCTGGTGGACTGCTGACGCTCCCTGGAATCAAAAAATAATAAGACAAATCACAAAATACAGTAATGTGAAGACAAAACACAGGAGCTTCAGAAATTATTCAAACCCATTTATTTTGTTATGTTGCAGCCAAACACTGCAATCATTTAAATGTAGTTTCACAGCAATTTAAACTCCGTATCCAGTAATGTTAAAATGTAGATCTTCTACAACACCACTTGTAATTAAGCTCCAGTGTTCTCCACTTTTTTTGATCCCTGCTGAGATGTTTTTAAACTTCGAGTGGAGTCCACCAGTGTCAAATCAAACTGACTGGACAGGATTTGGAAACACACCCACTCCTCTATAGAAGACAGCTGATGATGCATATCAGAACAAAAGTCAAACCGTGGGGTCAAAGGAGCCGCCTGCAGAGCTCAGACACAGGATCGTTACAAGACATGAATTCGGGGGAGGCTACAAAATATTTCTGCCGACTGAAAGTTTACAGGACTCTTCCAAGAGCTTGTGGCCCAGCTACACCGACCAGTCAAGGGAGATGTATTTATTGAAAGGTGACCCAGAACCTAATGATCAGCCTGACTTCAGAGATCCTGTTTGGAGCTGGGATTACTGCAAGTTCCACAAGGACAACCAGAACTGAAGGCCTCCACTGATCTGGGCTTTATGACAAAAGTAACCCGATGGAAGCCTTTCATCTGTGCAAGACACCTAGAAGCTGCTTGTAGGACACAGACTGGCAGGAACCAGATTCTTTGGTCTGATGAAGCCTCCATTCTTAAAGATACATGTCAACCATCCCAACAGTGAAGCACGGTGGGGATGGCATCATGCTATAGGGCAGCTTTCAGCAGCAGTGATTGGAGGCTAGGGCTGAACGATTTTGGAAAATATTCCAATAGCAATTTTTTTACCTCAATATTGCGATTTAATACGAGATTATTTTTCATCGTCTTTTTCTCATGTATTTTTCAACGAACACGAGCAATAAATCCGTTTCATCAGTTTTCAGCTCCGCTGCAACTCTGTTTCTGCATTTTTTGTATAGCTCCGGGATAGTAACTTGGCTAAAATGTGTGCGAGGGCATTCTGTACCGTTTATCCACTGTGTTTACCAAAGCTGTAAACCCAGGCCTGGTCACTGTATTAATGGGCGTCATGTCTTTCACTATGAACTCCGTTATTGCTCGAGTTATTTCCGCGTGCCGTTTTGAATTATGTTCATACGGAGTAACACTTTTGAACCGTTTGGTCAGTGATCCCTGTCGACTGGTACTTTGCTTACTTGAAGTTGAAGCACATGTCATTGGCATTCTAGCCGTGCAACTATCGTACATAGCTTTGTGGTGTTTGAGAGGTAGCAACAGCATCAAGGCAGGTTCTGCACAACATGTTGTTGCTCAGCGGCTTCTTTTTTTATAGACAAAATAATTCAAACGGACGTACTGCTCCTGTTTGGTACCAAACTTTCAGATGTGTCAGCTTCTGTCGAGCCTAATGCCACTGTGCAACCGGTTAAAGCGCAGTGTTGACTTCTCCCACTCCCTGCTCTGCTTCGTTTACTCACAAGTGACGTAACCAGATCACACGACCAGTCAAACCACAGCCTTTGCGATTAAAAATCTTGTTTTATCATATCGTGATATCATTTCAAATGCAATTAATTGTTCAGCCCTATTGGAGGCTGTACGTTGATCCATTTAGCTTTCACTTATCCCTGACCAGAAATATCCTAAAGTAAAACTTGTTCCTCAGAACTGAGCTCAGGAGCCCCATTATCTCTGGAGAGAGACCTGAAGATGGTTTCACCAAGAGTCCCCATCCAGACCAAGTTTCAGAAGCTTTGTAAAACTAAAAAATAAAACTCAATGGTAGAAAAACCTCCAGTCCAGGTGTGCAAAGCTGGTTGCATCAAACCTAAAATTACTCAAAGCTGTAATTGTTGCCAAAGGTGCCTTAACCAATTAATAATAATAAAAAAGATGATTATTTAACAAAATAAGACTATACATTTTCTTACATTTTGAATAAATGCACAAAATGATAGAAAGTTCAGAAAAAGGTCTCCAAGCTCAATCTTCCATGTAAATAAATCACAAAAAAGGTTAAATCATGTCTTCTGGACCAGTTTCTTTTAGGGAGAAATGTTTCGTCTGAAAGACTTCATCAGTCTGTGGCCTGCCAACCAGATCTGAGCCATAAATAACTCATGTGTTTCAAGACAACCCAGATTCCCAGAAACCGGCTTCCAACACATGCAAACAAGGGACCATCCATTCAAAACAATCAACCATCATTGTAGAACAATCAAATGTTTTAGGCCAGATGGGCAACTTGCTACTCACAGAAAAAGCCTGACGACACCAATTCATGGGACAGATCTGGATTGGCAAACTGCAGGCTGATGAAGTCTTTTGGACAAAACATTTCTCTTGAAACTGGTCCAGATTACATGATTCAACCTCTTTTGTTGGTTTCTACCTGGATGATAGAGCTTACAACACTTTTTCTGAACCACTTTGACCTTGGTTGTCCTCAAGCTGTTTCTGTGAGTAGCAAGTTGGCCATCTGGACTAAAACATTTTACATGATGATTGATTGTTTTGGACGGATGGTTAGAAGCTGGTTTCTGGGATTTCAACAGGAAGTTGACTTCAAAAACACCTCAGTGAGGATTATTTATGGTTCAGATCTTGTTGGCAGGCCACAGACGGATGAAGTCTTTCAGATGAGAGACAAAATGTTTCTCCCTTAAAGAAACTGGTCCAGGTGACATGACTGAACCTTTTTTGTGATTCAAAGTTCAGTTTTCCATTTGTCAGATACCGAGTGCAGACTGATGAAAATATCCTGATGCATGCTCAGTAATCCAGGTAGATAAATCCAACAAGGTAAAGTCAAGTCCTCTGGACAGAGGACCTGACTTTACCTTGTTGGATTGATGAAAATAGTTTGGCTTCAGAAAATGTCACATGGTTGTGTTGCAGACTGACAAACTACACTCTCTGCTGCTCACTTTGACTCTACGTCGAGCTGTTCTTCCAGCTGAGCGATCTTGGCCTCCAGCGTGGCGATGGTGGACTTGTACTTGGACTTGATGGAGGTCTCAAGCTCCTGCTGCTTCAGTTTCAGCTCTTTATTCTGGCGGTCCAGCTGGGAGCGAGCGCCCTCCAGCTGCTGAGCGTTGCTGCGCTCCGTGGTCAGCTCTGAGGTCAGCTGCTCATTCTGGTGTCAGACACAAGAAAAGTACTTTAAGCATTTCCTTGAAGTTCTCTTCTGCAGAGTAGTCACTGCACTGATGCTTTGCACTTCAAATCTCAATTTTCTGTAGTTTTATGTGACCGTTTCTGATAAGTCACCAACCTTTACCCTTACAAATAAATCCCAGCAGCAGCAGCAGCTACAGTTAGACAAACAGGATATCTTGGGAATCTAACCTGCTGGGTCATTCTCTTCAGACGATCATTAACCATCTCCATGTTGAGATGTTCTTCTTCCATGTCTTCCTCCATCTGAGTGATGCGAGCCTCCAGCTTCCTCTTCTCATCCGTCAGCTGAGAACTGACAGGAAACACAAGTTGAGCATGGAAACATGAAACATTTAGTTTTTGTTGATATTAACATGAATATTCAGTACAAGTGAAAAAAGTTAAAGTTATTGCAAAAGGAATTGTCATTTGGTTCGTACTTCTTGGTGTTACTGCTCTTGACCTCTTCCTGGAGCTCATCCTTCTCAGTCTGAATCTGTCTCCTCATTCTCTCTGCAGTGGCCAGATCCTGACAAAGACCAGAAACACACATTCATTAAAGCTCTACTGACTCTCAGGTAAACCATGTGGTTGTCTGTGCTCTGTCACAGATGATGGATAGGAGACTATGGTGCACAAAGTTCAATGGCGTCAGTTTCTGAATGTGTGATGTCATAATGTGCTCAAGTTTGAACAAAAACTAAAACCATCTAAGTTCCAGTTTAGTTGTCTGGTTGTTTGTGCTTCATTTACATAAATCCAACTTGACTCGAGCTGATGTTAATGCAAACATTCAAATTTGTTTAATCAAACAGTATGTGGAAGAAAGTCTTACCTAAACCAAAGGTGCTGCTTTATAATGTATTTATTATGTAACTTTATAGTTGTGGTCTGAATCTTTAAGCATCATGTTCCATCATCGAACCGTTCAGCTGCTGGTCTCCACTGACTCCTACCTCCTGGAACTGTAGGACGTCTCCCTCCAACGACTTGACCTTCTTCTCGGTCTCCTTGGCGCTGTTGACCGCTTCATCTCTGGACAAACGAAGCTCATCCAGCTCCCGCATCAGATCTTTCATTTGAGCCTGGAGTTCAGACATCAGGACTCCAACATTATTCACTGCAGGTCACATTTTTGAACATTATCCAGGACATTTTTCGTTCCATTCAAAAGGCATCGTTGTTGCCTGCTGCCAATGTTTACAATAGTTTTGCATGTGTGAGACAGCCACCAAGACTTTATGATACTCCTCTCTTTTAGACTTGCAAGTCAAAGCTGGAACAAGACAAACCTTTGTTGGCTGGTTCCCAATATGTTTAGCTGTAATTAATCATTTCTTTGCCTAAAAACAGCAGACGTTGTTTCCATTCCCTAAAATTTGAGAGTCTAAACATCTGTGTTCATCAGTTTGCATCCACTGCACATTGTTCTGAACACAGACAGTTACGGGAGAGAGTTCATCGATCACAGCTCAGTCAACTCTCACATGTTGCGTTACAAACTGCTCAGCTTTGTACCAACATGCTCTGACCACCGACATCCTCACAAACATGAACAGGCAGTTAAACTTGGCTTCTACTTCTTAATGCACTCATCACTGGTGACCCTCAAGGCTGTGTGCCAAGTCCTCTACTGTATTCAAACCGTCCAGATGATCTGACTAAACATTGCTGGATTTTTATCTGGATTATAGAGCATGAATTTGGTCCTCTACTGTTTTGTTTGTACACTTACGACTGCGTCAATTCATCTCTCCAATATTATTGTTTGCCGATGACACCACTGTAGTAGGTTTTACTAGACTTCGTACAACCATGAGATTTAGTGACAGAGAATGATATCCTAAAGAACTGTCACTGAACACAACTAAAATTAAAGAATTGATCTTGGACTTGAGGAAGAAGCAAGATGTTGAACTACAGGGAACACCTTTTAATTTCTGGGCAGTCTCATTTGTGTGACTGTCAAAAAGACAAAGCAGTATCTGCACTTGGAGAACACTCAGGAAAGACTTGATCAGCAAACTGCTGCAGACCAAGCAGCCATTGAACGCATATTGTTTTAAGGCATCACAGATTCAATTCAGTTCAAGCTTACAAGGTTTGATCCAATTCGCTACACTCTTCTCAAAACAAGATGACTTTAGTTTAAAAACGAGTTTCGTCATCGTGGGTTATCTACATTATTTCGATTTACCTGGAGTTTTTTCAGCTGCTTCAGGGCATCATCACGGCTTTTGTTTGCAAAATCGATCTGTGCTTGAAGGCCCGCGAGGTCCGACTCCAGTTTCTTCTTGGAGGAAAGGGCCTGAGAACGCTGTCTGCGTTCATCTTCAAGCTCAGTTTCCATTTCATGCACCTGAAAAAGACCAAAGGATAATTCTTTTTTCCTTTTATGTGAAACTTTAACATTTTAAACCAAACGGTTTAAACGTTTGCTGTCCCACCTGTTTAACGAGCTGCTTCCTCCTCTCCTCTCCCTGCTCATCTCTGGCCTGCAGGTCTCTGTCGAACTGGGCCTTCATGGCCTGCATGTTGACCTCCAGACGCAGCTTGGCATCTTCTGTGACCTGGAGCTCATCCTCCAACTCCTCCAGCTGAGTTTTCATCTCCTCCAGCTGCTGCTCCATGCCACGCTTCGACTTCTCCAGCTCATGAACCTGCAGACGGTGTGTAATTGTTTAGACTGAGCCTTGACAAGTCTGGAAAGGTTTCAGAGAAACACTTCAGTTCTAACTTCTGCCAACAACAACAGAGCAGAGGAGCTTCACCTCTGATGCTGACAAAGCACATTTTGACACAAAGGAACAGTAGTTTTCACAGATCCACAGCTCTCATCACCAACTGTCCGGTGTCTCTGCTTACACTCTTGCCGACATCATCCTTAGAGGAGACCAGGTCCTCCATCTCAGCTTTGAGCAGTTTATTGGCTCGGTCCAAGTCGTCCTTCAGAGCCGTCAGGGTCTCCAGCTCACGGGTCAGAGTGAGCGCACGAGTTTCCTTCTCCCTGGCTTCAGCTTCAGCCTTGTCACGCTCTGCAGCAAACTGAGTGGAAATGGCTTTTTCCTCTGCCAACATCTGAGGATCAAAGAGGATGAGGATGAATTCAAGTACCCACCGGATAATAAATCAGTTCAGTTTATTTCTATAGCTCCAAGTCACAACAGAAGTCCTCTCAGGGCACTGAACAGAATCATTTACATACATTATAAAAGCCAATTAGTAAAAGTTTAGCTAAAGCAACAGCAGATTGTGGTGAATCTTCACTTTGTCACAGTCTCCCATCCTGAGCAAGCACAAAGGAGACGGTGGAAAGGAAAAACTCCCTTTAACAGAAAGAAACCTCCAGCAGATCCAGACTCAGGACGAGCGGCCATCTGCTTTGACCTGCTGGTTTTGAGAGGACAGGAAGGAGAAACAAAAACACAGAATGACAGGTCCAGGTGTACTTTCTATAGGAGGAAAGATAAAAAAAAAAACACTTAATAAGGACAGAAATAATTACAAATACAGAGCAGAGCAAGTAAAGACAGCAGCAGAGAGAGGAAATGTGGTCAGTTTGTCCTCCAGTAGTTTAACCCTATAGCAGCATAACTAAGGGATAACTCGGGAAACACAAGCTGACCCCAACTATAGGATTTATCTAAAAGGAAAGACTTAAGCCCAGTCTTTCGGTGGGACTAACAAAGACCTTAACAATCCTATATTGTGAAGAGTGAGAGGTCAATCTGCATGTGTCAGTCTGCATTGTGAAAGCTTACAGAACATCTCTGCTTTATAATTTAAATCCCGCACTCCTCATTTCACTGAACTGGGAAAGCTCCTCGGATGAGAAGTGAAACGTCTTCACAAATAAAGTCCAGTTGCCTTTTTAAAATTTTTTTTATTTACCAAGTCCTGGATGACCGAGAATCTTCATCAGTGTACTTAAGCCCAGTCTTCATTCAACATTTATTTATACAGGTTAGTCTCATTGAGTCACGAGGACTCATTTTCAAGAGGGACCTGATTTAGATAAACCACAGATGAGGTACAGAAAACAAACAGCAATAAAAAGCGTATAAAATTAAAAGTAAATAAAAGTAGTGATATAAAACAATAAAATCAAGCTACATTATGAAACAAGGTAAAATAATAAAAACATGAACATGCCTGAAATGTTTGGTTCATTATGTCCCTCGAGCTGCCTTTATCTCTAGTTCCCGTTTGTTCCTACATGTTCCCGTTTTTAGTATTTTACAGCATCTTATAATGTAGCATGAACTTATATGTATAATGAGCTTCAGATCTTTTTGTAAGATATTCCAGGAAACAGGAGCAGAGTAGGAGAAGGTCCTTTTGCCTAGTTCAGTCCTCACTGAGGGAACACTGCAGGTAATAATGTCCTGAGAGCGCACGCTGTAGCTGCACTCACGCCGAGACATGTAGGAGGAGATGTATGAAGGCAGCAGACTGAGAAGTGATTTAAAGATGAAAATGTACCTGTGAGAGAATGTGCATGAAGTTAATGATGTCCAGTTAACCAGTGAATACAGGGTGCAGTGGTGGGTATGGTAGTTGCAGCCAGTTATGAATCTTGGTGCACCATGATAGACAGATGGGTCTTAAAACTGGACAATGTGTCAGCCTCAAAGACAGAAACTGGAGGTTGGTTCCACAAGAGAGGAGCCTGATAACTGAAATACTGTATCTGCCTCCCATTCTGCTTTTGGAAACTCTAGGAACCACAAGTAAACCTGCAGTCTGAGAGCAAAGTGCTCTGTTAGGTAAATATGGAACAATAAGATCTGTAATATAAGATGGAGACAGGTTGTTGAGACCTTTGTAGGTTAGAAGTAAGATTTTGAATTCTATTCTGGATTTGACAGGGAGTCAATGGAGAGAAGCTAAAACTGGAGAAATATGATCTCCCCTTCTAACTCCAGTTAAGACTCTGGCAGCAGCATTTTGGATCAACTGAAGACGTTTTAAAGAAGTATTTGGACACCCAGATAATAAACCATTGCAATAGTCCAGTCTAGACGTGACAAATGCATGGATCAGTTTTTCTGCATCATTTTTAGATGTTTCTAATGTTAGTGATATTACGCAGGTGGAAGAAGGCAGTTCTAGTAATGTTTTTAATGTGGGGGATAAAAGACATGTCCTGATCAAAAATAACACAAAGATTTTTAACATTAGAGCTGGAGGACAGATTAATGCCATCTAAGGAGGGAGAAAGCAAGATAAATTAATTCCTAAGGTGCTCAGGTCCAAAAACCAAAACTTCAGTCTTGTCTGTGTTTAAAATGAGAAAATTAAGGGTCATCCAGGTTTTTATGTCTTTAAGACATGCTTGTAGTCTGAGTAACTCCACACAGTCACTTCAGTGAATGTTTTTTTCTTCTAAACAACTTTTTTTTTTTTTTTAATAGGTCTTTATTCACATGAATCTTTAGTTCTTCTAACTAGGCAGGTTCATTCTTGCAATGACTGACATTTTAGGTAAAAATTGTACTTTGGTGCAGTTTTTACGTTATGTTCTACCAGTGGTTTTGATGCAGCAGCCACAAACTCCACTGGTTTGGGCAAAATAAAACAAACGGGAAAGAAAAATATGAGATGACATTAAAGCAGTGGTCCCCAAACTACGGCCCGCGGGCCAGATCCGGCCCCCGACCATATTTGGTCCGGCCCCCTGAACAATACCAGAGAGCATTTAGAATTTTTTTCATATATGTGTATTTGTATTTGATAATAAAGTTGGACTTTTGCAATAAAATGTTTCTTAGTTATGAACTATTTTCATTATTAAGTAATATAATACTATAATACATAAGTTAATAACTATTTCATACACGCATATAACGTGACATTCTGTTCCACCCTTCTGTGGTCTGTGCCCCTATCTGGCAACCCCCAGAAAAAAAATTCTAAACCCGCCCCTCGCAAAGAGAGAACGGAATAATGGCGAAAAGATTAGGTAAGAGAAAAATTGATTCAGAATGCAGGGCATTTAACCTGCAGTGGACAAACGATTATTTTTTTGTTCAATGCAAAGAAAAGGCTGTCTGTCTCATCTGTCAAGAGGCGGTGGCAGTATTCAAAGAATATAATCTGCGGCGACACTATGAATCCCGCCACAAAGACAAGTATGCTAGCTTGCAAGGCCAAATGCGAGCAGACAAACTCTCAAAGCTAAAAAGTGGACTGTTAGCTCAGCAGAATACATTTGTACACCAAGCTCAGCTGAACCAGTCATCTGTTCGGGCCAGCTTTCGGGTTGCTCAACTGATAGCAAGCAGCGGTAAACCTTTCACTGATGGAGAGTTTGTCAAGAAATGCATGAACGCTGTCGCGGAGGAGGTGTGTCCTGAGAAGAAAGATGTCTTTAATGCCGTGAGTCTATCAGCGAGTACAATCACCAGAGGCATTGAAGAAATCGGGGGTAATGTATATGCCCAGCTGCAGCAGAAGACGAAAGAATTTGAATTTTTTTCATTAGCACTGGATGAGAGCACGGACGTGCAGGACACCGCGCAACTGCTCATTTTTGTTCGTGGAGTTAGTGCAAACTTTGAGATCTGCGAGGAGCTGGCAGCCCTCCAAAGTCTCAAAGGGACTACGACGGGGGAGGATATTTTCGGCAAAGTGTATCAAACCATGGAAGAGTTGGACCTGGACTGGTCAAAGCTGGCCAGCATCACAACTGACGGGGCTCCTAATATGGTGGGCATGTCTCAGGGTCTAATAGGACGCATGAACCGGGAGATGGAAGAACGAGGTCTCACCGCCCCGCTACAAGTTCACTGCCTAATTCACCAGCAAGCACTGTGCTGCAAAGTGTTGGCTTGGGATTCTGTCATGAAGGTGGTGGTGTCATGCATAAACTTCATCAGAGCAAAGGGACTTAAACACAGGCAGTTCCAAGAATTCCTGTCTGAACTGGAATCTGCGCACGGCGATGTGCTGTACTACACAGAGGTCCGATGGTTGAGCCGGGGCAGAGTTTTGAAGCGTTTTTACGAGCTGCTACCTCAAATTAACGCATTTCTTCATTCACAAAACAAAACGGTGCCAGAGTTGATCGACCCAGAATGGAAATGGCACCTCGCATTTTTAACAGACATGACAGAAATGCTGAACAGCTTTAACTTGCAGCTACAAGGCCAGGGGAAACTCATTTGCGAAATGTATTCCCACATAAAAGCATTTGAGGTGAAACTAGAGCTGCTTTTGGGACACGTGAAAAAGCACAGCTTCATCCATCTCCCTGCTACACAAAACCTCTCTGCAGAGAACCCAGCGGTCCCGTTTCCAGCTGAAAAGTGAGTGGAAGCACTGGAAATGCTGAAGGCAGAGTTCGGTGCGCGATTCCATGAACTACATGTTTATGCAAAAGAAATCCGTCTTTTCCAGAACCCCTTTGTTGCCGACATTGACGAAGCCCAGCCTTCTTATCAGTTTGAGTTGGCCGAGTTACAGAACTGTGATGTTCTGAAAGACGCGTTCAAGCCCAGCGGTCTCATTGACTTCTATGCCGCCCTCCCAAACGACACATACCCTAACATCAGAAAACACGCAAGGAAGATGTCCACACTTTTTGGCAGCACATATATTTGCGAGCAAACCTTTTCACGCATGAAACTGCTGAAAACTCCAATGAGATCAAGATTGACAGATGAACACCTGCATCAGTGTTTGAGACTGGCAGTGACTAGAATGGAACCTGAGATTCAACTTCTCACCAGCCAGATACAGGCCCACAGTTCACACTGATGAACATACAAAGGTAAGCTCACTTTTCTGACTTGAATGAGTCATTCTGACTATAAAAAATATAATCATAATAACCCTCTCTGTCAATACCCCAGAGAGGGTTATTTGGTTATTATTTATTTCATAAATAATGTTATTTACTTCCTGAATTTTGTTCTGTGAAGAACCCAGAGAAGGTTATTTGATTGTGCTTTCTGGAAAACAATAAATTTTTACATTTAGGCACTCCTGCAATCGTCACACTTTTTCTGTTACAAACTGACTCCAGCCCTCCACCAGAGAAGGGAAAAGTTATGTGGCCCTCACAGGAAAAAGTTTGGGGACCCCTGCATTAAAGTTTTGAACAAAGTGTTACCTGATCAAACTTCTTCTGCTTGCGCTCCAGGTTGGACACGACCTGCCTCAGGTTGTGCTGATCCACCAGGAGGTCATCCAGCTCCTGCTGCAGACGGGTTTTTGTCTTGTCCAGCTTGTCGTAGGTTGCCGTCTTCTCCTCCAGCTGCAGCATCAGGTTGTCCAGCTCCCGCTGCGCCTTCTTGCGGTTCTCCTCTGCTCCCTCCAGAGACGAGGCCTCCTGTTCCACCTTCTTCTTCATATCTGCCAGCTGCAAAGTGAAAATGGACAGGAAGTGAAAAAGTAAGTTGAACGGTAGAGTTTTTATTGACCAAGTTAAGTTCAGGGTGATCACCAGCTCTGAACGCTTTGTACAGACCTGAGCCTGCAGGGTGGAAACTTGCTTCTCCACGTTCTTCTTGCTCTCCTCCTCTTCCTCCAGCATCTCCCGCAGGTTGTTCTGCTCCTCCTCCAGCTGCTTCAGGCGGGTGGACAGAGACAGCTTCTGACGAGTTTCCTCTTGAAGCAGCTCCTGAGTTCAGCAAATTAAAAGAGCACGACGTGAGAAAAGACGGACACTGTTCGAGCATTTGCACTGTTAGAAGTCCTGCAGTGAGAAGTTCTTGTTCAGGGTTTAGTTATTAAATAACATCTCGAATGACAAACTCTGACTCTGACTAAAATGTGATTATTTAAAGGCAAAAATCTAAAGTTCACACGTCAGATTGATCAACAGTTGAATTTAGTCAAAGATGAAATAAATTTATCACTGTTCAGATTTATGATGAAAAAAAAGACGTTTCATGAGAAATTGCGTGTTTAAAGATTAGGATAATTACTGTAATTTCTGGATTATAAGCCGCTACTTTTTTCACAGGCTTTGAACCCTGTGGCTTATACAATGCTGCAGCTAATTTATGGATTTAAAAAAAATAATAATAATTTGACAGGCTAACGAGCTTCATGCCACAAGAAACATTTAGCTTCGTCACACCCAAGCGCTCGCATACAATGGGGCAAAAAAGTATTTAGTCAGCCACCGATTGTGCAAGTTCTCCTACTTAGAAAGATGAGAGGTTTGTAATTTTCATCATCGGTACACTTCAACCATGAGAGAAAAAATTAGGAAAAATAATCCAGGAAATCACATTGAGGATTTTCAAAGAATTTATTTGTAAATTATGCTGGAAAATAAGTATTTGGTCAATAAGAAAGAAGTTCAAATGAATACTTTGTAACATAACCTTTGTTGGCAATGAGAGGTCAAAAGATCCTGATGCATGCTCAACAATCCAGGCAGAAAAATCGGAGAGGTCAAAAGGTTTCCTGTAAGTCTTCATCACTGTAGCTGGTATTTTGGCCCATTCCTCCACGCAGATCTCTTCTAGACCAGTGATGTTTTGAGGCTCGCTGGGCAACATGGACTTTCAACTCCCTTCACTATTTTTCTATGGGGTTTAGGTCTGGAGACTGGCTAGGCCACTCCAGGACCTTGAAATGCTCTTTACGGAGCCACTCCTTTGTTGCCTGAACGGTGTGTTTGGGATCAATGTCATGCTGGAAGACCCAGCCACGTTCCATCTTCAATGCTCTCACTGATGGAAGGAGGTTTGGGCTTAAAATTTCAAGATACATGGCCCCTTTCATTCTTCCCTTAACATGGATCAGTCGTCCTGCCCCCTCGCATAAAAACAGCCCCAAAGAATGAGGTTTCCACCCCCATGATTCACAGTAGGTATGATGTTCTTGGGATGCAACTCAGCATTCTTCTTCCTCCAAACATGACGAGTTGAGTTTTTACCAAAAAGTTCTATTTTGGTTTCATCTGACCGCATGATATTCTCCCAATCCTCTTCTGGATCATTCATATGCTCTCTGGCAAACTTCAGACGGGCCTGGACATGTACAAGCAGGGGGACATGCATGGCACTGCAGGATTTGAATCCCTCTCTGCGTAGTGTGTAGCCTTTATTACTTTGGTCTCAGCTCTCTGCAGGTCATTCATTAGGTCCCTTCGTGTAGTTCTGGGATTTTTGCACACCGTCCTCATGATCATTTTGACCCCACGAGATGAGATCTTGCATGGGGCCCCAGATCGAGAGAGATTATCAATGGTCTCGTTTGTCTTCCATTTTCTTACAATTGCTCCTACAGTTGATTTATTCACACCAACCTGCCTATTGTAGATTCACTCTTCCCAGCCTGGTGCAGGTCTACAATTTTCTTCCTGGTGTCCTGCGATAGCTCTTTGGTCTTGACCATGGTTGAGTTTGGAGTCCGACTGTTTGAGACTGTGGACAGGTGTCTTTTATACAGATAACGAAGTCAAACTGGTCCATTAATACAGGCAATGAGTGGAGGACAGAAGAGCTTCTTAAAGAAGTTACAGGTCCATGGTAGCCAAAAATCTTGCTCGTTTTTGACCAAATACTTGTTTTCCACCATAATTTACAAATAAATTATTTTAAAATCCTACAATGTGATTTCCTGGGTTTTTTTCCTAATTTTGTCTCTCGTGGTTGAAGTGTACCGATGATGAAAATTACAGACCTCTCATCTTTCTAAGTAGGAGAACTTGCACAATCAGTGGCTGACTGAATATTTAAATAAATAATTATGGGGGAGTGGTGGCGCAGAAGTTCGAGAAGGTGGGCCTGTGATCGGAAGATCGCTGGTTCAAGCCCCGGTACAGACAACATCAAAAATGTGGGTGGGGTAGGTGAAGCACTCACACCTGCCCCCATCCTCATTTGCCCCAGTCTGGGCCCATGAGCAAGGCCCTTAACTCCCATCTGCTCCCTAAACAGGTCTCTCTTGAAAATGAGTTCTCGTGGCTCAATGAGACTACCTGGATAAATAAAAGGTTAAAAAAAAAAAAAAAACGACCAATGAAATTACTGAAAAGGTCACAGTGGACCGACGATATGAGGAGGAAAGAACGTGGAGCAGGGATTCCTCTGCGCACTATATCTTTGTGTATGTTACTGTTACAGATTTAATTAAAACGTTTTTTTTTTTATCTTTCTGTGTAAATATTTCTGACATGGACACCCGCGACTTATAGACAAGCACGGCCTATATATGTACAATTAGTGGGTACGGCTTATAGTCAGGTGAACTCAATAGTCCAGAAATTACTGTTTTTTCTAATTTCAGATTAATATTTAAATGTACGACTATTAAAAAAGTTGTTCTACTAAAACTTTGTTCTACCTGTGTATCCTGTAGCTGAGACTCCACAGAAGACAGGTCTTTGCTGGATTTGATGTTTTTGCCCTCAGCTTGACTCAGGAGACCGTTCACATTGTCCAGCTCGGTCTAGTTGGACGGAGAAACAACAAGAGGTTCATATTCTGGCCTTCACAAACTGTCCTCCATCCAGGTGAACGCCGCGTTCGTACCTGCAGCTTGCTCATCTTCTCCGTGACCTCCTGCTTCTTTCGCTCAGTTTCTGCAAGTTTCACCTGCAGCTCCTGAGCCTGGGTTTCGGCCTTCTTGCGCCGTTGTTCGGAGTCTGCTTTGCTTTGCGTCAGATTCTTCAGCTCGATCTTCAGCTCATTCCACTCACTCTCCAGAGCCTGCTTGGCTTTGTCCACAGACACCTTGCTCTGCCGGAGGGACACAAGATGCACGTTAGTGTTCTCTGGATCTTTGGCGATGGCGTTCTCCTGCGAGCGCGGTGTCCAGTACCTTTTTGGCCTGCTCCAGCTGCTCGTTGAGCTCCTCGAATGCCTGATTGTGCTTCTGTCTCACGTCAGCCAGTTGCTGCTCGTGAGTTTTGGCCTCTTCCTCCAGAGTCTTCTTTAGCTGAGTCACTTCTGACTCACGTTTGGCCCTGGACAGAAAAACAAAAAGTAAAAATGAGAGACGTCACTTGTCTGATTCTTCATGATGTCCCTGCCGTGTTGACAGAGAGGACTAGACGTCGTTGATAAGCAGCACCTCAGTTCCTGCTGTGCTGCAGTAGAGTCCAACGTGTCCTCCAACTCCGTCTTAAGGGCCTCCAGCTCCTCTCCCAGGTCCCGACGGTTCTTCTCCACCTTGGCACGTGCAGCCCTCTCCAGCTCCAGGTCTTCTTGGAGCTCTGAGATCTGGACCTCCAGTTCCCTGATTTTCTTCTGGGCCGTGTTCTTTGCTGCTGCCTCCTCTTCAATCCTGGAGTTAAAGGAAATAAAGTTAAGGTACAGTAACTGAGTTTGACACCCCTCCATAAGTTACATTCATCCATAAATATTAACAAAATACATTTTTGCTCAAATCAAGGGTTAAGTCAATGTTTGTGTGAAAAGGAAACATCAGAAGTTTTAGTTGCATCATATTCTTTACCTGGAGCACCATTCGCTCTAGCAGAATTTATGTAGTTCTTTGGTTTTAATATTTAGTAGAGTGCATGGGGTTTTAAGTGCGGACTCAAACATGACATCAAATGATTCAAACACAAATCTATTTTGTTTTAAGACTTTTTTTCCCCACAAATAAAAATCCAATTTGCATGGATGAGAAGCAGCTGAAGTGTAGCGGCGCCCTAAGTCTTCTTCCAGGGATGGCAGCATGCAGTATATTCCAGTGTTTGTAGCATTCGTGGGTTGTGTCCTGTGCACACTCAGCTCAGTGACCCATACTGGCCAGATGAAGTAACGGTTCTAATGTGGCCCGTGGGCCTCAGGTTTGACACCTATTACCTAAATAATCAGTGCAAAACTCGTAAAGGGACCCCAGTTCCTGCAAATACTGTATTTTTTGGCCTATAAGTTAGTTTTTTGAATAATTTGCATGCCCTGCGACTTATACACCAGAGAGACTTATTTATGGATTTTTTTCCATATTTATAAACTAATTTTTGACTGATATGACAGTTTTCATTTATTCTGATTGAAAATACTGAACACTACCATTTTCAGTCATTAGAAGGCACTCGAGTAGTATGGCATGCCTTTGCGTCATGCAATAGGTAAAAGTGGCTATTGCTGACACAATCAGCTTGCCATAACCATAACCTTTGTCCAGCTTGCCTGGAGCAACCGTCAAATCAGCTTCATTTCTCTGCGCCGCCCCAGTGAAATGCAGCTAATTTGACCACTGAAGTGCATTTAATAAGTAAAAGTTAAACTGAGACACACCTTTACTATAATTTCAAGCAAACAAACAATTGTTTTAGGTGCTTATCTTGTTAAGTTTCAAATAAATGCCCAGCGAGTCGTCTCTCTGCGCGTTCCAGTTTCCGCGTCTCGGCTTTTGAAATGCAGCTGATTTGACGTCAAAGTGCATTTATTAAGGAAAAGTTAGACCGAGACACACCTTTGCTATAATGTCGAGCAAACAAATAATTGTTTTTAAGTGTTAATCTTGTTAAATTCTTGTTAAAGTCCTCCCATGCACACTCCGGCGGCCGGCAATTGGCAGCCCATCGATTTTCAGCACAACACCGGCCCACATTTCCGACTCATCAGCAGTGACGCATAATCGAAGCTATACGTATACAGCAATTTGACATATTTATGGATTTTCCCACTTTTTTAGACATATTTGGACAGATGTGACTTATCGGGCAGTACGACGTGTATGGCAGAAAATACGGTAAATGTGATTTTATTATAGTGAAGCAAACAGAGAACGTTGCCCTGACCTGGCCAGTGCAGCGAGCAGTTCTTCCTCCTTCTTTGCCAGCTGAGCTTTGAGCTCAGCGATCTGGGCCTGCAGGTCTGCAATCTGATCATGAAGCTCCGTGGAGTCTCCCTCAAGTTTACGACGATTCTTATCCAAATCTTGACGCATCTTCTCCTCCTTCCTCAGTCGGTCTGCAAGTGTTTACATCAGATATACATTTTTTAAAGAATTGCAAACACCTCCTTTTATAAAAGTAAATCTTAAGCACTTGCCCTCCAAGTCTGCTATCATCGTTTCATGTTTGTTCTTGAGCTTCTGCAGGCTTTTGGACTTCTCTTCCTCCTCAGTCAAATTAGTGGTGAACTCAGAGAGTCGCTCCTCCAGCAGCTTCTTCTCCTAAAATAAAATAAATAAACAAACCAAATTTGTCATTTTGTTCAAGCGGTACGTGAGTATTTTACAAAATGTTCATTTCATTTTAAGCTGCTAGCTTCTGCTCTGGGTTGGGACCTTTGTGAGCTTGCTGTTCTGGTCGTCCAGCACCAAAACGTTCTCCTCTAGCGTCTTCAGCTTTGCATCTGTGGTGACCTTCTCTATCTGCAGTTTTTGTCTGGCTGCTTCCTCCTCATCCAGCTGCTGCTCCAAGTCCTGGATGAAAATAATTTAGAAAGTTAACACATTAAAAATATAAATAAATAAAAAATATAACAGGTTTGACACCACAGCAGAATATGACCAACCGTAATGTTCTGCTGCATCTTCTTCTTCTCAGTTTGCATCTGATTCACCCTCTCCTCCTCCTCCTCCAGGCGGGACTCCAGGTCGTGCAAGATCTCCTCCAGCTCCTGCTTCCTCGTGGTGAGGCGAACCCTCATCTCCTCGGCCTCGGCACACAGCTCCGTCTCTGCCCGGAGCTGCTCCTGCAGGGCCAACTTCTCTGCGTTCAGCTGAGAGCAGAGTCAGAAACACAACTCAGGTTTCATGGACCTTTCTTACATTTCTCAATAAAACTACAACCAAACATGAAGTTCAGTCCAGAGGAAGGCTCCTACCTGCTTCTGCTTAGCTTCGTAGTCTTGGAGCTGCTCCTCAACCTGCATCTGTTTCTCCTTCACCAGCTGCAGCTCTTCTTCCTTCGCAATTAAATCCTCCTCCTGCCGAGTCACCTCCAGCAGAGGCTTCACCTGGATACAAAAATACATGAATTATAATAAATAAACAATCTATCTCCCGCTGTCTCGCTCTCCCTATATTTTTTATTTTATATATA